CCCTGAAGAAACCTTTTGCTAGAAAATTTTGGTCGGAATTGTTTGATTCGAATGGTGAAGTTCTAGTCGACGGTAACGGGATTGGCACTATGACATAGAGCAAGGAGACCATAACTTCCGGAGTCGAATGTGAAATGGTGTATTGGATTGACTTTTTGAGATTTGTAAAAATGAGGCGCCCCTCTTCGATTCCATGCACAGTTGAGGCAAAGTTGTCGTCCATCAAAATCATGGCGGCTGCCTCCTTCGACACGTCGGAGCCAGATATGTTCATTGAGATCCCTAAATCGGCTTTCTTCAAAGCGGGGGAATCATTAACACCATCACCGGTCACCCCAACGATATGACCCATTGATTGAGCGCGTTTAACAATTTCGAGCTTATGACGGGGCGAAGTGCGAGCAAAGATGATCTCATTTTTGGAGAAGATGTTGTCCCATTCCTCGTCGCTTAAACTGTCGATCTGTTCACCGTGAATGACGATCGCATTATACTCATCCTCACCGATGGTTTCAATGGGACGACCAGTACGCATGGCCAACATCGGCTTAGTTTCGGAAAGCATCAGGTTTATCTTGCGTCCAATGGCCTCGGCAGTCAACGGATGATCACCGGTCACCATGATTACACGAATGCCAGCCGTACGACAGCGACCGATGGCTTCTCGAACACCGTGTTTTGGAGGATCCTCCAATGACGCCAGGCCGACAAAACACAGACCTTCGAGAGGATAGTTCTTCTCTTCCTTATTGAATTCGTAATCCTCTGGATATTGATCTTCGGGCAGTAGGAATTGTGCAAAAGCCAACACGCGGTGCCCCTTTGAAGCCATATATTCATAAACCTCGTCGTATCGTTTCTTATGATCGTCAGTTAATGGAATCGCTTCTTTATCCGACAAGATGGATGAACAGATTTTAAGCACTCGTTCGGGCGCACCCTTTATATACAAGGTTAAACTACCGTTCGCGTGACTCTTTCGGTGGATGGATAACGCCCACTTGGTGTCCGAGTTGAAAGGAATCTCGAAAACCTTGGGATATTTGCTGACCAACTCATCATAGTCATCTATTTGATGTCCGGCAAAACGGATAAGACCAGTTTCAGTCGCATCACCAAGAATTTGACGCTCCGCAAATGGAACATCCGCCCGATCAAATTTTGCACGAGAACACAGCAAGGAAATGTGTATTATCTCTTGTATACCGGGCGCCTGGGGATCGAAAGGGGTGTGTTCAGTCTGGACATTT